TGGAACAAAATGATATAATTTAGTAATTTTCTGTGAGACAATAATGATGTTCTAATTGAAAAATGTACTCTGATATAATTATCCTACATCTTTATAAGCCTGCCTCAGGAGTGAAGTAAAAGAAGAAAGGCTAATATTTTTACTGTACCATGTGAGAAAAAGCTCTCAAAGTTTTATTTGTATCACTTGATGTACGTTCAAGAGATGGAAGCCTCATAATAGCAAAACGGTTTCCTGATTTGGTCTAGTAACCTCTTGGGGCAGGATTCAAATGAAGCTTTGGCCACATAAATCAGAGACAGACTTAAAGGTGGGACTCACACATACACATGGGTGCCCTGTGCCCTGGTATGCATTGGGATATCTCCCCTGGCTTCCACCTGCAGGTCCCAAAGGACATAGGTCTCCTATGTGTTATCTTCTGCCAGTATCATCTGCAGGTAGGTTATATATTCCCGAGTGTCTTAAATGGCATTGGATGTTTGTGTTTAGGCACCTGGGTTGCTTCCTCCATGTTAGAGTGAAATTATTTTCCTAAGGAGTTATCCATCTGAACCGTGGAAGGGCAAAAGGGAATAGGAATCATAGAATCATAGAATCATTTAGGTTGGAAAAGACCTTTAAGATCATCAAATCCAACCGTAAACCTAACATTGCCAAGTCCCACTAAACCATGTCCCTAAAATATGATATATAAAGAAATGACTCCTTGTTTCTCCCTGCCCTGAGTTGCTGATTCTCCGTCTGCCATGTTTTCAAGAGCAAGTCTGCTCTCCTTTTGCAAAGAAACCCATCTGAATCTGCTGCATAGGGCAGTCTGCCCCCAGGACAGTCTCAGGCCCTGGATCCACAGGGCAGGACAGGACATCATCACCTGTGTTTTTCTTGTGGCTTAACGCTAGGAGATCCCATTTCTGCAATAGGCTTTCTGGATTATCCTTCTGTCAAATAGTCACCTCTGTGCATGCTCCAGCAACACGTTAGTTCTGGCTCTTCGACTCTGCTGCAGCACAGACACTGACTTGTAAGCACCTATGTCCTCCACATGGCCCTCAGAGTGGTTTGGGGAAGACATCCTAGTGTATAACCCAAAAGCTGCCTCATCCTCACGTTGCTAAGAGTAAAACCAGGCAGAGGGAAAGCCCATATGGCTTCCTACCACCCGCAGCAGTGCAAGTGCCCGTTGGAGCAAGGGCTATGCCAGAGCCCATGCAGTGCGGTGGGACACTGGACATGCGCACAACTTATCTATGCTACAGAGGACCTCACCTAAAATATCAGTAATATGTTCCAGGCTAGTGAGGATGGCAAAAATAGTTAAATAGAAGCAACACCATCTTCATTTTAAAGGAGAGACAGTGTATTTGAAGTTGCTAATATGCTGGCAGCTGCTGCTGGGGCTTACAGGGGTGGCTGGAACTGAACTGCTGTTGCCCTAATTGCTGCCAACCACAATCCTGGGGAGCAGAAACGCAGCATGTCCTATTTACTGACATTCCTCTTGTGAATGAAGAGGAGCTGCCAATCCAGGACCTCACAGAAAGTGCAGGGAGAGTGGAGCCATGTCAGGAACCCCTTTGGTGGGGGAGAAACAGCTGCTGCTTCAGCAGCTCCTCTGAAACTCAAGTAGTAACAGGTTCCTGGCAATTAGTTTTTGGCCCATTTACTCACCAAATTTTGCTGGCCTTCTACGCACATGGTGTGGAACCACTAACCCCCCTAGATGAGACAGCCCAGCTGGGTGTGCACACCACTTGTTGTTGGGATCCTTCTCACACCAGGTAGAGAAAAAACAGTGGGCCCAGGAGCTCCGTAAGACTGAAGCTGAAGAAGCCTGCCTTCCTCTTTTATCCCCTCCAGCCACCCAGAAGGAGGGTTCAGAAGCCAGGACAGCATGAGGGGGAAACAGCAGAACCAAAATTCTTGTGTATTCACCCAAATCCCCCAGCGGGTCCATTTTCCCCCCTGCCCTGCAGCTTGCCACCTGCAAGACCTCATCCCAGCTGCTGTGAAGGACCCATCCACCCTTTGGTCTGTTCAGTGATTTTGGAGGTGGGGAGAGGCAGGAGTTGGCTAGTTGTCACTACAAGACTCCTCAGCCATACCTGAAATGCTGGGGAAGAGATCGGGCACATTCCTGCCAGTGCCCAGCTCTTCTTTTGGAGCAGGGGGGAGCCTGGGATGAGGAGGGTCTATGTCTCCAGCACAGCAAAGGCGCGATGGTAGTGTCACACGCCGGTGGGTGCAGGGGCTCAAGGGGCGGCATGTTTGTCAGGGGGCATGGGAGGTCTCACAGCTTGGGCTCTCTGTCCATCCTGTCACCGTGCCCTGGAGCCATCATGGGGCACTCCCCACCCTCTGGATCCTCATGCAGAAGAGGTGCGTGGTGCATGTTGCCATTAGCTGCATCGCATCTGCTGGACTCCTGGGGCCTTTCCGGATGGTACAGCGAGGGGTAGGCAGGCTCATAATATATTAATAAGCAGGAGCTTTTTATTTATAAGGCAACCTGCTCCCTGCTGTGGAGCTGGAGGCACTGCTCAATAAGTCATAATAAATCTAATGAAACAGTATAAATAAGTAACCAGCTTTAATGCTTGCGGCAGAATTATTAGGCAGATTAGTGAATGGAAAATTAGATTTTTGTTTTCTCTTCATTGTTCAAGTTTGTCTTGATTCTGGTAGCAGTAAATTTTGGGGGGGAGTCTATGAAGGGACAGGAGACATAGCCAAGGGTCAGAGAGACGAGGGTGCCTTGGGCACCTGAGGGAAAGGGCAGAGGTGTCTGTCCCTCAGACTGGGGCCCACTGGTCAGATCTGGGACAGGCAGCACAGAGCCAAAGGCTGGTCCTGGGACAGCCCCCCATCCCTCTCTAAACTAGCAGCACCTCCAGTCACAGTGGGAAATGACTTCAAGAAATCCTGGCTTTTGACCTGTGTGGCACAGACTGGCTTTGAGGTGCCACCACAGTTCATGCTGGCTGAGTCCTGGGCAGGGATTTCTTTTTTGCTCTGGTAAACATCTTCACTTGTGGTATAACATCGTTTCAAGCCAACTATGACATAGGTTGGGTGATGTCATCACTGACACCCACCACTCCCCTCCCGTTGGGCTACAGTGCGAGAGGAGGTGGGGGCCAGGCTGGATTTCTGCTCCCTTCATCAGCGACAAGCACATGAACGGGAGCTGCCATTGCCACCTGATGTCCCGCTCTCCTTACTGCATCTCCTGCCAGCAGAAACTCATCAAAAAGCTGCAGGCGGAGAAAAGCCTTTCAGGAGGAGATTCAGAGTTTTCAGGAGACAACAATGAGCTTTCAGGAGAAGATCAAGGGCTTTCAGGAAAAAATCACAGATGTCAAGATGGCCATCTAAGCCTTCTGGGGGGAGGAAAAGCCAATCTGGGAGGAGGAAGCTGCCTTTCTTGAGGAAGAAAAGTCTATTCAGGAGGAAGCAGAAGCCTTCCGGAGGGTGTATTGTGACTTCTGGAAGGACTATAATGCTTTCTGGAAGAAATATAAGGATTTCTGGAAACAAGATCTGCTCCTCTGAAAGAAAGACAGAGTCCTTCTGGATGAGGACAGAGTCCTGTGGGCAGAAGAAGCAGCTCTGTGGGCAGATGAAACAGCTCTCCTGGAAGAGGAAAGAGCTCTCTGGGAAGAGGAGGAGGCCCTCCAGGAAGACCAAAAGACCCTCAAGGAGTGTGAATATATCTGGGAGGAGGCCTTTGGTCCTGAGAGAGAGAGTATCTCCAGGGATGTCACTATCGACAGAGGAAAGGCATAAATTGTTCTGCTAGGCTCAGAAGCGTGTGGAAAGCCATGTATACTGATGTGGATATCTTATTTAAGCAGTGCTGTCCTTCAACTAGTTCTCTGAAATAGCATCTCTATCTCTAGAAGTAAATCAGAGTAGGGTTTTTTAAATGTGATTTGCTTTAAAGCCATTGTGCTTATGTTTGCAGGACATTATTCTTTTGAGATCCTGTAGCTTGAGGGATGGGGTAAACCTTTGGTTTCCTGGCCTGCCACCAGGTGGAGGGGTGTGAGTGGGTAAAGCCATAAGAAGCTGAGGGCTCAATGGCTAACATCTTCTGGAGCTCACAACATCTCACCTGACTCAGTGCAGTTTGTATCAACTGAGTCAGTGCCAAAATAAGGCACTGATGAATGTTAACCTTCGGATCCTCCATATTTAAGGGTCACAGATAGCACTCCTGAGTCTTAATGAGACCACTTGTGCTGTTCCACCAGGTTTGGGGTTGGACTTCCCATTTAACTTCCCACTGCTCTTGGGAGCATGACGGGAACATTTACGTGCTCGGGTGAGCCCCCCCCCCACCTGCTGTCTGGCTGAGAGCAGCTTTAGTGACACAGACAGAGGATGGGGAGAGAAGTGGAAGGGATTACAAGAGTCAGCAGCATGTGGGGAAAGATGCACGCTGGAGGGAAAGTTGGCAGTGAGTCCTTCAGTCCTTCCCAAACAGGGTTTGGGATTATTACTCACCTACTGAGCTCCTGTTGCCAGTGCAGGTACAGAAGCCTGAAACAGAAAATCCTTGATAACTGCAGAGCAACATGTGGTCAATATTTAGCAATATTTTATAAGCACAGATTCAGTGTCTTCTGCTGAGCTGTGGCACAGCAGTTGCAGTTTTTCTTGCCTCTTGAGGAACTGAATTCAGATGCTTCACATTTTTGAAGGCTGAGCTGTAAAGGCTGGTCTAGAGGCAAATCTACATTTGACCCTCTGTACATCCAGGAGCGGGGAACAACAGCAACAGTGAAAAGCACTCATCTGAGTCAAACCACACATTGAATTTTTCTCTGGTATGGTAGCGTTAGTAACTCATTCCCCTTCGATGCGGGATTTTTTACACTGAAAAGGCTCAAGGCAATGTAAGAAGCCTCTACAGTTGCTGTTGAAGAATCTGATGACTTTTGCAATTGTCAGGCATACTTAGGCTGTCACTCAAGTTCAGTCCTTTGTGATCTGCTGTAGGATAAGGCTGCCTGTCCTGTTTAATTGTGCTCAAGACAAATTATGCACTATGTCTTTCCTGAAAAATCCATGAATATTTATTGCTCACTGAATAACCATCCCATTAAAAAAAAAGCCAGCTGATTCAGCCAGGGTAGGAATGTTTTGCAACCTTTTTTATTATTATTCTATTATTACCATGTAAGCCAGAGATGAAAATGACCTATTAGGCCATTCAGTGCAACTTCCTGCAAATTCAGGACTCTTACGCATTAGAGCTTTATCATTAGATGCTATATAGAGAAAGAACCTTTCAGAAAATAACAGTATGCAAAATGCACTTGTCACTTAATATATTTTAATGTCAAAAAGCCAAGAATTTATCTCAGTTATTCAAATCCACACGTCAAATTAACATCCATTTAAACTAAAATTAGGTATGCTTTCTCTTGCAAAGAACTTGAAGCACATGAAATGCTCTTAGGAGAGCTCCTAGTTGCTTCTCCTTTCATGGGAGAGCAGAACAATGTTTCTCTGGTGAGAGTGCTGTGAGTATAATACAATGGTTCTGAAATTTAAGGCATTACACGATGCAGCACAGAGGATCTAGAATTTTAGCCAGGGAAAAGCATGTACCAATATGGTTTTAGACTGCTGGTATATACTGAAATATATACTGAAAATACTCCATCCGCCTGGTGGATCCAACCACCAGAGTGGCCCTTCCTTGGGTGGCATTGCTGGAGAGACACCACATGCAAAAGGCTTACCAGGGTTGGTGTTTGAAGTGGGAAGCTAGAGGGTACCTGCTCTGCATCCAGAAGCTCTGGACTGAGGCTGAATTTCAGTCACAAAGTCAGTCTCTGCTAACTCTATGGAGTGGTAAAATAACGAGGGGAGCAAATAGAACAGCTACTCTAAGGAAAAGCTCTGTTACATTTATCATCTCTACGATACACACACGGAGGCTTTCGAGCTGTGAAATTCAGAGTGAAAAAATTGCGTTAATACACCTCTGTCTTGGAAGAGCACATCTGCTGATCTGGCATAGGTTAGCTGTTAGGACCAGGAAAGAATTGGGCGTGTCTGAAGAACTGAAGATGTTTGAAGCATGGACTCACCTAAAGTAGGGTGGAAGGACTTAAGCAGCTGCCAAGTCCACCTGTGCCTCAAAAGCAGCCATACCTGTAATGCTCTGAGCAAATACTTATCTAAGCTGTTTTTCTTGTTTAATTGCTGGCACTAGTGTTGTACAACCATCACTTTCTGTCTAGGGCTTTACTTATATTAATTTTTTTGTGGTGACTGAGGTGAATCTCCCTAATTGCAGTTTTGACTTCTTATTTGTAGTCCTATCCACAGTGGACATGGGAAACAGCCCTTCCATTTACCTTGTGTTTACCTGTCTGAAACCTGGTATGTCTCTCTACCCAAGTCTCCCTAGACTAGCCTACCCCATCTCCTTCTGGCCTCCTTCACTGACCAAGCACTTTAGGTATCTGGAAGGCTTCTGTCCTCCTTTCTGGCCCACCCTCCAACAGACTGAAAAATCAAGGTAATTTGCAGCATCCAGGTACAATCCCTGAATATACCGAAAGTCCCTGCAGGTCGCAGTGCTTGTTTTGCAGAAGAGATTCAGCCAGGAGTGACATAGCTGAGCCCTTCGGACACCAAACATCAGTGCTGAAGTTCACTGGTGCTGGTGGGTCCTTCTGCAGAGTGATGCCACCACAACGAGCCCTGTCCTGTGCCCTGGGGTATCTCAGCCCCGTGTGAACGGAGAGCAAACCTGAGACTTACTCAGTGGCACAGTCAGGCAGAACAGGCGCCGACGTAACTTTAGACCGTAATCAAACTTCCTGCGGTTGCTGTTCAAATAGAGACGCGTTAAAGATAAAAGCAGAACGATTAGTGCAATTTCAGAGTAAACAGAGGGATAAAACCCAAATACAGGGAAACGTGCTGAACCCAAACAAGAATCATATCTTGGCAGTGTAATTAATTTAAAGTCAATGAGCTGTGTGCACTCAGGAAGGTTTTGAAGGCTTAGCAAGCCCTGTGCAGAGGGATCGGACAATAGGACGCAGAAATTTTACGGGCTGGCTGGGCTGCCTGGAGCTCACCTGCTCCCTGGTGCAGGCAATGCACTTCTTGCTCTCCTTCCCTGGACAAAAAAAAAAAAAGAAAAAACTATGGAAAATATTAGAGAAAAATGCGTGTCAGGGCAGAAGGGTCCCACTTTATCCACATTGAAAGGCAGTCCTGGCCTCAGTCACAAGCCAGTGAAGATGCTGATAAACCTGAAATTCATATTTTTAGGTGATACTTGAGTTTTTTCTTTCAAAGTTTCTGCTCAAGTGATGCACAGTGGGCTATTTTCTGCTCAAGGCCACAACAAAGGTCGAAGTTATGAACTGCGGCTTCATACCTCTAAAAACACAGAGATCCCAAAGCCCAAAATGTCTTACAGAGGGGCAAAACCAACTCCCACACACAGCAATAGAGATTGAGTCCTTCGTGCCAAATCAGGATAAATATTTGAATGAGAGAAAGAAACAGCTCCTGAGCTCACCTCCACATTTTTAACATGCAGCATTGTCATCAGAAAGCATCGCTGACGCAGCTGTGGAGCTAACTCGTGGGAGAGGCAGAATACGGAAAATGGTAAAGAGTCATTTAAGTCAACAGACATGCCTACATGTGTCATAAACCAGAATGGTAAGAGTGACAGAAGAAAATTAAATCTATTCAGTATATGAATATATATATATATGTGCGTATATATAGCTATGATTCCCAACTATGCGTGCCAGTCATTGCAAAGGAGGAATGTCAAAAAGCTGGGAGGCAGGCCTGTGACTCATGGGAAATTGGAGGTATGGAGAGCATCAAGACACAAATAAAAATCCTGTTGCTCTTCTGCCAGGAAGTCTGGCTGAATTGTTGAAAAGTCAGCGCAGAGGGTGCCGTGGAAATTGAAGGAGGAGATAGAATACTGTGGCTGAAAATGTCAGATGGGGAAAAAAAGAACCGCATTTTCACCCTTCAGAATTTAACATCTAATATGGGTTAAAGAGGAGGGGAACTGTGAAGAAACTGTATTTTAAAAACAATTATATGATGCTGAAAATCTCTCTGTTTCTCCTTTTGTCTCTCTATCCCTCCCCTCTTGTCTTCTTTTTAAAAATGTTTTATTTATCGATTAAATGAGGAGCGTGGTCTGCAGAGAGGGAGGGAATTCCAGATTCTTTACATTTGGGGATTTTGGAAAAGGTTTTGGTCACAATCCAGCAATTCACTCAGTCTATGTGGTCCCTCAGACTACCTGAAATGTTCCAAAGTCACGTATAAAACTGTATTTAGAATTAGAACTGGGCTTCTGCTATCACTGGATCCCGGGTGGTGTGAGAAACAGGCAAGGGCAGCGCTCACAGATAGGGGTGAATTTGAGCACAAGTACACACGCTTAGATGAGGTGGGCATTTGTAAAAATAAAAAACAATTCGGATTTGTACCTGGGATCTTCAGGAACCATGGTGGCAGCCCTGGAGATGTAAAGATAAACGCAGCTTGTATCTTGGATCTTCAGGTTAGCAGTATCTCATAAATGACACAGAACCACTGAGCAAGGAGCCGGCTTCCCTCAGCTGCAAGTTGTCCTTATTTGTGATTTTTGTGTGTGCGCATACACATAGACACATACCGAGAGAGAAAAATTGGCCGGGAACCAGTTGGTGTGTGCAGCGCAGTCAAAACACTCTGCCCCTGCCCTAGTCATCCCCCTGCACTGCCTCTGCTATTAGAAA